AGTGCTGCAGAGATTGGTTGTCCTTTTGGAAGGTTCTCCCATCGCCACAGAGGAACTCTGGAGCTGTCAGAGTGACCATCGGGCTCTTAGACACCACCCTGACCAAGGCCCTTCTCCCCCGATTGCTCAGTTTGGAAGGGCAGCCAGCACAAGGAAGAGTGTTGGTGGTTCCAAACTTCTTCCATTTAAAAATGATGGAGGACGCTGTGTTCTTGGGGACCTTCAATGCTGCAGAAAGGTTTTGGTACTCTTCCCCAGATCTGTGCCTTGATATAATCCTGTCTCGGAGCTCTATGTACAATTCCTTCGACCTCATGGCTTGGTTTTTGCTCTGATATGCACTGTCAACTGTGGGACCTTATAATAGACAGGTGTGCCTTTCCAAATCATGTCCAATCAATTGAATTTACCACAGGTTGACTCCAATCAAGTTGTAGAAACATCTCAAGGATGATCAATGTAAACAGGATGCACCTGAGCTCAATTTCGAGTCTCATAGCAAAGGGTCTGAATATTTATGTAAATAAGGTATTTCAGTTTTTTATTTATAAGACATTTCCCTACATTTTCAAAAACCTGTTTTTGCTTTGTCATTATAGGGAATTGTGTGTAGATTAAATAAAAATGTTTCCTCATCAATCTATTTTAAAATAAGGCTGTAACGTAACAGAATGTGGGAAAAGTTAAGGGGTCTGAATACTTTCCGAATGCACTGTATGTACTGGCCCAGACAATATTGCAATAAATGAGATATGGGTAAATTAAACTATAGAGTTAGAAAGCAAGCCTGATGAACCAAACCACTAATCTTTCTGATGATACCAACAGATCGTCACTTTGCAACAGACAAATTGAATAGGATCTTTCCAGGATAATTTTTCATCAATTAGAACTCAGAGGAATCTAGTGGGTGTGACTTGTTCCATTTTATTCCCTCCAATTGATACTCTGGCTCTTTATTATTATTATTATTATTTATTTTTTTACAATGTTTCTTATTCTTACTAGTGAATACAATGAAGTTAGATTTTTTTAACATTTCAAGATTTTTAAAAATATCTGGAACCATTCAGAAAATTTGGCCATACCTGAGTTGGTGTCATTAATTAGTGAATCAAAATTCTTGAGAGATAAAATCAAATTGTTATCATCAGCAAAGAGACTGGGAAGTACCGTAGATTTGAGCCAATGTGAGCAAGACCTTTAAACAGGTCAACATTCACAAGGCCATGGGGCCAGACGGATTACCAGGACGTGTACTCAGAGCATGTGCAGACCAACTGGCAAGTGTCTTCACTGACATTTTCAACCTCTCCCTGACCGAGTCTGTAATACCTACATGTTTCAAGCAGACCACCATAGTCCCTGTGCCCAAGAAAGCGAAGGTAACCTGCCTAAATGACTACCGCCCCATAGCACTCGTGTCGGTAGCCATGAAGTCCACCATCATCCCGGAAACCCTACACCCACTCCAATTCGCATACTGCCCCAACAGATCCACAGATGATGCAATCTGAATCGCACTCCACACTGCCGTTTCCCACCTGGACAAATGGAACACCTATGTGAGAATGCTGTTCATTGATTACAGCTCAGCGTTCAACACCATAGTGCCCACAAAGCTCATCACTAAGCTAAGGACCCTGGGACTAAACGCCTCCCTCTGCAACTGGATCCTGGACTTCCTGACGGGCCGCCCCCAGGTGGTAAGGGTAGGCAACAACACATCTGCCATGCTGATCCTCAACACGGAGGCCCCTCAGGGGTGAGTACTTAGTCCCCTCCTGTACTCCCTGTTCACCCACGACTGCGTGGCCAAGCACGACTCCAACACCATCATTAAGTTTGCTGACGACACAATGGTGGTAGGCCTGATCACCGACAACGATGAGACAGCCTATAGGGAGGTCAGAGACAATGCCTTTTCCCCCTCAGGAGACTGAAAAGATTTGGCATGGGTCCTCAGATCCTCAAAAAGTTATACAGCTGCACCATCGAGAGCATCCTGACCAGTTGCATCACTGCCTGGTATGGCAACTGCTCGGCATCCGACCGTAAGGTGCTACAGAGGGTAGTGCGTACGGCCAAGCTTCCTGCCATCCAGGACCTATATACTAGGCGGTGTCAGAGGAAGGCCCAAAAAATTGTCAAAGACTCCAGTCACCCAAGTCATAGACTGTTCTCTCTGCTACCGCACGGCAAGCGGTACCGGAGTGCCAAGTCTAGGTCCAAAAGGCTCCTTAACAGCTTCTACCCCCAAGACTGCTGAACAATTAATCAAATAGCCACCTGGACTATTTGCATTGACCCCCGACCCTTGTTTTTACACTGCTGCTCCTCGCTGTTTATTATCTATGCAGTCACTTTACCCCTACCTACATGTACAAATGACCTCGACTAACCTGTACCCCCGCACATTGACTCGGTACCCCCTGTATATAGCCTAGTTAGTTATTTTATTGTTTTACTTTTTATTTGTTACTTTAGTTTATTTAGTAAATATTCTAAATATTCTAAAAACTCTATTTTCTTAAAACTGCATTGTTGGTTAAGGGCTTGTAAGTAAGCACTTCACGGTAAGGTCTACACCTGTTGTCTTCAGCGCATGTGACAAATAAAATTTGATTTGACACCGCACCAAGGGCATCGATACAGATTAGGAATAACGAAGGTCCAATTATCAAACCCTGTGGAACACCACAGGATATATTGGCCCTGGTAGATGCACAGCAGTTTGCATAAACAAATTGTTCTCCATCATAAACATAACTACATAACAAATTATATGTATGATCATGAAAACCGTAATAATGCAATTTAGAAAGTAATATTTAATGATCTACCGTGTCAAACGCTTTGGATAAATCTAACGATGCCAAGAACGTATTCATTGTTGTTAAGGGCTGTAAAGTTGCAAAAGAGCCATATCTGTGGAGTAGTTTTTACAAAAACCATATTGGTGCTCATATACAATGCTCAAAAAAATTAAGGGAACACTAAAATAACACATCCTAGATCTGAATGAATGAAATAATCTTATTAAATACTTTTTTCTTTACATAGTTGAATGTGCTGACAACAAAATCACACAAAAATTATCAATGGAAATCAAATGTATCAACCCATGGAGGTCTGGATTTGGAGTCACCCTCAAAATTAAAGTGGAAAACCACACTACAGGCTGATCCAACTTTGATGTAATGTCCTTAAAACAAGTCAAAATGAGGCTCAGTAGTGGGTGTGGCCTCCACGTGCCTGTATGACCTCCCTACAACGCCTGGGCATGCTCCTGATGAGGTGGCGGATGGTCTCCTGAGGGATCTCCTCCCAGACCTGGACTAAAGCATCCGCCAACTCCTGGACAGTCTGTGGTGCAACGTGGCGTTGGTGGATGGAGCGAGACATGATGTCCCAGATGTGCTCAATTGGATTCAGGTCTGGGGAACGGGCGGGCCAGTCCATAGCATCAATGCCTTCCTCTTGCAGGAACTGCTGACACACTCCAGCCACATGAGGTCTAGCATTGTCTTGCATTAGGAGGAACCCAGGGCCAACCGCACCAGCATATGGTCTCACAAGGGGTCTGAGGATCTCATCTCGGTACCTAATGGCAGTCAGGCTACCTCTGGCGAGCACATGGAGGGCTGTGCGGCCCCCCAAAGAAATGCCACCCCACACCATGACTGACCCACCGCCAAACCGGTCATGCTGGAGGATGTTGCAGGCAGCAGAACGTTCTCCACGGCGTCTCCAGACTCTGTCACGTCTGTCACGTGCTCAGTGTGAACCTGCTTTCATCTGTGAAGAGCACAGGGCGCCAGTGGCGAATTTGCCAATCTTGGTGTTCTCTGGCAAATGACAAACGTCCTGCACTGTGTTGGGCTGTAAGCACAACCCCCACCTGTGGACGTCGGGCCCTCATACCACCCTCATGGAGTCTGTTTCTGACCGTTTGAGCAGACACATGCACATTTGTGGCCTGCTGGAGGTCATTTTGCAGGGCTCTGGCAGTGCTCCTCCTGCTCCTCCTTGCACAAAGGTGGAGGTAGCAGTCCTGCTGCTGGGTTGTTGCCCTTCTACGGCCTCCTCCACGTCTCCTGATGTACAGGCCTGTCTCCTGGTAGCGCCTCCATGCTCTGGACACTACACTGACAGACACAGCAAACCTTCTTGCCACAGCTCGCATTGATGTGCCATTCTGGATGAGCTGCACTACCTGAGCCACTTGTGTGGGTTGTAGACTCCGTCTCATGCTACCACTAGAGTGAAAGCACCGCCAGCATTCAAAAGTGACCAAAACATCAGCCAGGAAGCATAGGAACTGAGAAGTGGTCTGTGGTCACCACCTGCAAAACCAGTCCTTTATTGGGGGTGTCATGCTAATTGCCTATAATTTCCACCTGTTGTCTATTCCATTTGCACAACAGCATGTGAAATTTGTCAATCAGTGTTGCTTCCTAAGTGGACAGTTTGATTTCACAGAAGTGTGATTGACTTGCGAGTTACATTTCAGTGTTCCCTTTATTTTTTTGAGCAGTGTAGAAACCAAATTGGTGCTCATATAGAATACAGTGTTGAAACCATATTGGTGCTCATGTAGAATACAGTGTTGAAACCATATTGGTGCTCATGTAGAATACAGTGTTGAAACCATATTGGTGCTCATGTAGAATACAGTGTCTCTTATACAACAATTTTTATAGGATTTTAGAAAAACATGGTAGTACAGATATTATTGACTCTTACTTTCCTGATTCCATTTGAAAGGTACATGAAAGGGGACACCGCAACAACAGAGTGCTTAAGTAAAAGATATTCAGTCAACGTTTTGTTTATATTTAATTTATTGATTACATGGGTAACGCCAGGGCGGCAACAAGCTAAAAACATGGGTATCCATCTGTACAACCAGAATGTTTATAGGAATATCTGGGATAAGTGTTTTGTGGTCTGCTGTGGTCGATTTCTCACAAGGAGAAAAGAGCAGTCTCAGTCCATTATTCTTCCGCCTCCCTCCATGGTTTGGGCTGGACCTTCCCAACTGGAGACAGATTCCATGTGATGCCGGTTTGTGTTAGTACCTGAAAACGAGGACAGATGTTGCGCATCACAAATAACGACTGAAATTAGTGTGTACACAGCACGTTAGGATTGATGTTGATGTGGGGAAGGAATAATACACACAAGAAAGACTAGGATATACAAATGTTATACATTCTTCTATACCACAAGGTGTTTAAGGCCTACTAGAAATTGGCACAACAAAGAGATTAAAATAAACATACAAATCCCCAGACAGACACACAGAACACGAATCCTCCGATCATCATGCCAGTGCCATACTTGGCATGGAATTCGGGGGCATGTGTCGAACTGAGCCTCACATGACGGGCACCTTGTCCTGCATTGAATAGATAAAACAAAATGTAACTGCAATGTTGGGGCAGGGCACAACATCCACACAGTAAGTGAATGTCAGTGATTCAGAGGTTATACTGATAACACAGGCGTAAGATAATGAACAGGCTACGGAATTCAAACCTGTCTGTTTTAGCACCCCTGGACTTCTCTAATCTTATCCAAAGAGTGGTGGGATGGAATGTCAAGATTACTTCTGCACGGACTATTACATTGTCATGTTGGATTGTTCAATTAAAAAGTCCCTCGGTATCTGACTTTAACACCACAATGTCTTTGTGTATGTTAAATGGTGCAATCGCTAACCAACACATGACCCTGGGGATGGGGTGACGTGAGGACAGCTAGCTAGAAGGCAAGTTGACATTGGAAGTGACCATCTAATTGTCTCACTGCCTGTAAATGAGTGTCAAGGCAAACTAAGCTAACAATGACAAATTGCATGAAACAGAAAAAATGGCATGAAACAGAATGACCAATGTTCAAAGTTAAGTAGCGTTAGCTAAGTAAAGAACCGCCAACAGCTAGCTAGCGAACGCAAGCCAACTACTAGTAGATTGATAGATACTACTACAATCACTGTCAATTTACAAGCGCTAACGTAATATGGTTACGGTAGCTAGGCTAGCTCGCTACAGACAGCTAGCTGCCAGATAGTTTAAGTAAGTAAGGACAGTCACTTAATCCACTGAAAAATAATTGCTAGTTTAGAGAAATGTTCAAACAGACACAAGATGAAGGAGCAGCTATCACTTTTAAACGATCTCTTACCGGAGACGTTCAGAGCTGCTTTAGCAAACCGAAGCATGTTGGCTCGACTAGAGTTTGTAGATACCCTTGAAAATCAAAACGGAAGAGCATTCATGACAAATACCGGAAACGGTTTAAAACGTACTCATACGCGCATGCTCATAATTTATCGCGCTAAACCTGATCGGTTTGTGCTATCTGGGAACCGGACGTCCCAACCCGAAACCTTAATACTAGCCTTAAATCCTACCCTAACCTTAACCATAACCCTTGCCTTAACCATTTTACTTTTAAACTTCAATGGGGTAACGTCAGAGTTGGGACGTCCCAAGGATACCGGATAGCAAGGACCAAACGTGATCAGCTATTTTTAGCAACTTTAGAAACTGTTCATACTTCAAGTCAAATCAAATTGTATTCGTCACATGCTTCGTAAACAACAGGTGTGGACTAACAGTGAAATGCTTACGGCTCTTCCCAACAATGCAGAGAGAAAGAAAATAGATAAATAATACAAAAGTAAAACACGAAATAATAAAAGTAATAATAGATACACGAGTAACGATAACTTTGCTATATACAAGGGGTACCAGTACCGAGTCAATGTGCAGGGCTACGAGGTAATTGGCGTAGATATGTACATATACTAGGAATAAAGTGGCAGATAGTAAACAGTAGCAGCAGCTTATGTGATGAGTCAAAAAAGTTAGTTAAAAAAGGGTCAATGCAGATAGTCCGGGTAGCTATTTGGTTAACTATTTAACTAACTATTTAGCTGTCTTATGGCTTGGGGTAGATGCGGTTCAAGGTCCTGTTGGTTCCAGATTTGGTGTATCGGTACCGAATGCCGTGCGGTAGCAGAGAGAACAGTCTATGACTTGGGTGGCTGGAGTCTTTGACAATTTTTAGGGCCTTCCTCTGACACCGCCTGCTATAGAGGTCCTGGATGGTATTGAGCACAGCCCCAGTGATGTACTGGGCCGTCTGCACTACCCTCTGTAGCACTTTGCGGTCTGGTGCCAAGCATTTGCCATACCAAAGCGGTGATGCAGCCAGTCAAGATGCTCTCAATGGTGCAGCTGTAGAACCTTTTGAGGATCTGAGGGCCCATGCCAAATCTTTTCAGCCTCCTGAGGGGGAAGATGCATTGTCGTGCTCTTTTCACGACTGTGTTGGTGTGTTTGGACCATGATAGATCCTTAGTGATGTGGACACCGAGGAACTTGAAGCTCTTGAACTGCTCCACTACAGCCCCGTCGATGTGAATGGGGACATGCTCGTCCCTCTGTTTCCTATAGTAAACGATCAGCTCCTTTGTCTTGCTGACGTTGAGGAAGATGTTGTTGTCCTGGCACCACACTGCCAGGTCTCTAACCTCCTCCCTATAGGCTATCTCATCGTCGTGATCAGGCCTACCAATGTTGTGTCTTCAGCAAACTTAATGATGGCGTTAGAGTCGTGCTGGAGACATTAGCAGAAACCTTTTTAATATGACAAATCACAGGGTATCCAAGGCCTACTCTGCTGACACTGACAAACAGATCAATAAAAACTACCTTGTCTTGAATGCAACCATCTAGGCCTAAGAAAAGCGGAGACACACATTTTACAATATGACGTCCAACTAGCCTAAAGGAGGGCATTATTGTCCAAAGAAACTCTCCAGTGGCACTGACCTAATGTGTTGACTATTGGTTGTTTCAGCCCAACAATAGATTACATATTTATATGACACTAAAACACCTGAATGAATTAAACACAACCAAACAATCAAGAGCCCTGATGGTATACAGTGCCTTCAGAAAGTATTCATACCCCTTGACTTATTCCACATTTGTGGTGTTACAGCCTGAATTCAAAACTGATTAAATATATTTTTTTCTCACCCATCTACACACAATACCCCATCATGACAAAGTAAAACTATGTTTTTAGACATTTTTGCAAATTTATTGAAAATGAAATACAGATATATCTCATTAACATAAGTATTCACACCCCTGAGTCAATACATGTTAGAATCACCTTTGGCAGAGATTACAGCTGTGAGTCTTTTTGGGTATGTCTGTATCACCGCCTGGTACGGCAACTGCACCGCCCGCAACCGCAGGGCTCCAGAGGGTGGTGTGGTCTGCCGAACGCATTACCGGGGGCAAACTACCCGCCCTCCAGGACACCTACAGTACCCGATGTCACAGGAAGGCCAAAAAGATCATCAAGGACATCACCACCCAAGCCACTGCCTGTTCACCCCGCTATCGTCCAGAAGGCGAGGTCAGTACAGGTGCATCTAAGCTGGGACCGAGAGAATGAAAAACAGCTTCTATCTCAAGGCCATCAGACTGTTAAATAGCCATCACTAGCACATTAGAGGCTGCTGCTACCTATTGAAATCACTGGCCACTTTAAGAAATGGAACACCAGTCACTTTAATAATGTTTACATTTCTTGCATTACTCATCTCATATGTATATACTTTATTCTATAATATTCTGCTGTATCTTAGTCCATGCCGCTCTGTCATTGCTTGTCCATATATGTATTCTAAATTCCATTCCTTACTTAGATTTGTGTGTATTGGGTATATGTTGAAATTGTTAGATATTACTTGTTAGATATTACTGTCGGAGCTAGAAGTACAAGCATTTCACCAGACCCGCAAAAACATCTACTAAACACGTGTATGTGACAAATAAAATGTGATTTGATTTGAAGAGCTTTGCACACCTGGATTGTACAATATTTGCCCATTATTCTATTCAAAATTATTAAAGCTCTGTCAAATTGGTTGTTGATCATTGCTAGACAACCATTTTCAAGTCTTACCATAGATTTTCAAACAGATTTAAGTAAAAACTGAACTAGGCCACTTAGGAACATTCACTGTTGTCTTGGTAAGCAACTCCAGTGTAGATTTGATCTTGTGTTTTAGGTTATTGAACCAGGTTTCTCTCTAGGATTTTGTCTGTGCTTAGCTCCATTTTGTTTCTTTTTTATCCTGAACCACATTCCAAATTCCAGTCTGCTGCTGGAAAAACTTATCTGTTATGGCTTTACTCCACCTGCTATATTGTGGGTACAGAGTTACCTGTCTAACAGAACACAGAGGGTGTTCTTTAATGGAAGCCTCTCCAACATAATACAGGTAGAATCAGGAATTCCCAAGGGCAGCTGTCTAGGCCCATTACTTTTTTCAATCTTTACTAATGACATGCCACTGGATTTGAGTAAAGCCAGACTGTCAATGTATGCGGATGACTCAACACTATACACGTCAGCTACTACAGCAACTGAAATAACTGCAACACTTAACTAAGAGTTGCAGTTAGTTTCAGAGTGGGTGGCAAGGAATAAGTTAGTCCTAAATATTTCAAAAACTAAAAGCATTGTATTTGGGATAAATCATTCACTAAAACCTAAACCTCAACTAAATATTGTAATAAATAATGTGGCAATTGAGCACGTTGAGGTGACTAAACTGCTTGGAGTAACCCTGGATTGTGAACTGTCATGGTCAAAACATATTGATTCAACAGTAGCTAAGATGAGAAGTATGTCCATAATAAAGCGCTGCTCTACCTTCTTAACAGCACTATCAACAGCAGGACCTACAGGCCCTAGTTTTGTCACACCTGGACTACCGTTCAGTCGTGTGGTCAAGTGCCACAAAAAAGCTCAGAACAGGGCAGCACGGCTGGCCCTTGGATGTACACAAAGAGCTAATATTAATAATATGCATGTCGATCTCTCCTGGCTTAAAGTGGAGGAGAGATTGACTTCATCACTACTTGTGTTTATGAGAGGTGTTGACATGTTGGGTAAACCGAGCTGTCTGTTTGAGCTACTGGTGCACAGCTCGGTCACCCATGCACCCATGCATACCCCACAAGACATGCCACCAGAGGTGGCCTCCCATAGGCCTCCCATAGTCCAGAACAGACTATGGGAGGCGCACAGTACTACATAGAGCCATGACTACATGGAACTCTATTCCACATCAAGTAACGGATGCAAGTAGTAAAATTAGATTTAAAAAAACACCTTATGGAACAACGGGGACTGTGAAGCAACACAAACATAGGCGCAGACACTTGCATACACACAATAACATACGCACCATACACACACGTACACATGGATTTTTGTACTGTAGATATGTGGTAGTAGTGGAGTAGGGGCCTGAGGGCACACAGTGTGTTGTGAAATCTGTGAATGTATTGTAATGTTTTTAAA